AAAGGTTAGTTGATCTAGCTTATGCGGACGATATCGTCTTGCTTTTCGACGATTTTTCGACGGCACAATCAACCCTGAATAGCCTGTCAAGAGTGGTCCCATTATTTGGTATGCGCTTCGCGTCTTCAAAGTGCAAAGTGTTGCTGCAGGACTACCAGCCACTTTATGACCCCTTGACGCTTGCTAACGAGGAACTCGAGGTGGTTGATCATTTCACTTATCTTGGCAGCTGCATCAGCAATGATGGGCGCATAGAAACTGACGTGAGCTCACGCATTGCAAAAGCCAGAGCTGCTTTCTTGAACCTGCGGCATCTTTGGCGACAGAAGGGAGTTTCCCTTCATCTGAAAGGCCGTGTATACAAGGCCACAGTGAGGGCCGTTTTGCTCTATGGTAGTGAGACTTGGCCCCTTTGGTCTGAAGATCTGAGGCGCCTTCAAGTCTTTGATCATCGTTGTCTGCGAAGTATTGCTGGTATCGGATGGCATCAGCATGTCCGCAACAATAATGTGTTTAGGCGAGTGCTAGGTAGTGGTAATCATGCTAGCTCCCTAGAACAACAGATAGCACTGAATGTGTTGCGTTGGCTCGGGCACGTGCTACGTATGCCTGGTCACCGCTTACCTAGGAGGGTCTTGTTTAGTCTGCCAGGTGTCGTGTGGTGCAAGACTCAAGGTGGACAGAAGTTGACTTGCCAGCGGGAAATGAAGTTACTGACGATCAAACTAGGTGCCGTTGGCCCACCTCGGCTTTCAGACTATAGTCCACATGACTCGCCTTGTGCTTGGCTTGAGACTTTACAGCACATGGTTTGCAACCGACACTGGTGAAGCGTCTGCTGCCGTCTCCTAATCGGATTGTCTGTTTAAAGTGTGTTTGGTGCTGATTTAACTGCGGGGTAATGGCTGATTATGATGCGTGGCCGTGAAAGCCGCAAGGAAGCTGTCTCGCCGATGTCGCCTTATCTTTGTTCGATAGTCAACTGTTTGTGACGGTATGATGTTAACACAAGCTGTAGGTGCCTTGACGCTGAATGTTTGCTTAGGGCATTAAGGTTTTCAGGTAATTCCCCCTTCACTCCCTCTTATTATTTATTTCATAGGTCCTCATGGTTGTATGGCAGCGAAGCATCAGTTCAAATGGCTGATGTGCTGCTGATGTAGTTGTTGTTGCTTAACTAGTGTGTTGTACTGGTCATGTGTGGTCCGGATACCGAAGTGCCCTGGCTCCACTTGCTTTGACTCACGTCGCTACTGTAGTCGCCGACATTGATAGTATCAAACAGCCGTCAATTTGAGCTAGAACGAGCGAAAGCACGTTAACAGAAAACCCAATGGAAAGTGATGTACACAAAGATGCAATCGTTAGAAAAAGCGGAACAGATTAAGGCGACGAACGATTTGTCAGCGCGCCATTGGTTTCGCCAAATGTGAAAGATTATCCAACCGCTGATGTCGCCCACTTGTGGGTCTAAGCAGACTTTTCGGTCCTTTTATACTTCTTTTTCGCCATGTCTTCGGTCGGGTATCCAGCGGTTAACAGTGCTCACTTAGGTAAGTTATTGATAGGCATTAGAAGGTGACCTAGCAACAATTCACGTTCTAATGCCCATCTATTGCTGCGCCAAGGGGTAGGAGGCTGTTTCCAAATTCCAACTGGCACATTTCAACATCGCCCACCCGTCGATCCTATCAGAGTTGAACCATGTTGCACAAGCCTCCCTAGTTGACCGCAGCTAGTCTCTGTATATGCGGGTAGCAGTGGCAGCTATGCACTGGTAAACATCTTAACCTTGACTATGCACAGATATCCTATCTTATAAATGATGTTTATGAAAGACAGTAGAGCTTTACAGATCCCCACCTGGGTTCACACAATAACTTGAGATTTTTGTGGTTGCGTAGCACCCTAGATACACAAACCTATCGACCGTTTCGGGTGACTTAATTAACTGATGACTAAATCGAATATGTAGTGGTGGGCTCGTAGTGGACACCAAGATCGTTTGATCTCTTACTTCCGCGCGTTATACAGTATCATGTGCGAGATCAATCAATGACTTCAGTACATCAGCACTAGTCTTAGGTTGCTGGTTTACGGACAAGTTGCACAGCTGCTGTGAACGACACAACGGGAGCAGCTTCCCAAGGTACAGTATTCTTGTCCATTTATGTCAATTACGCCTACATGTTTTGAGCGTGACTGATAGCATAGCTTTACAAACCCATCCATAATCTATGCTCGCTTTGTGTTTTCAGACTGTCCATACACAGCGACACTTGCGACTGTGGCTAGACATCGTCGCGTCGTTTGACGAACTACAGGTGGGCTACTGTAAGCCCCAACTTGCCTACTTAAAACTTGGTATGGAGATCGTTTGGCTATGTGATTGTACTTTCGTGTTGCGGATGCTCTCATTCCGTTTTTCGATGACGATCTGTGTATTTTTACCAAAATTGTGATAGCAGCTGTATTGATAAAGACTGAGCTGCATCCAGGCCAGTTTTCCCGAAAGTCTCCACGGGCTGCCAACCAATCGGATAGTCGATACACACTCGCACACACACATACACACGGATAGGAAGGCGTTCGTTGCCCTTATTGACTATAAACCAAATCTTACTGTTCCCTTGCGCGGCATCTTAATTCCAAGTTGTATGTGTGTTACAGCCTGTGGATACTACTACAGTTGTCCACTGCGATTGGTTATAATTTTCCCGGAAGCGTTTACGATTGTCCATTTATCAGGAGGTGTGTTAGTCATACACCTTGTGGTGCAGGCGCACAGGGCGAAGTTTCACCAGTCCTGCAACGGTGCTGTTGAGGGTGTTGTCGCCGGTGCGCGGACTGCCAAAGACTAGTGACATTTAGTTTGAAGCTGAAGTTGATAGTCCTGTTTATTGTTCTCCAGGGATACCAAGGAAGGTGAACCATAGGTGAAAATCCCGTTCTTCACAGCTACTGTCTAGTGTACGTCCGTATGATTGGTCGACGATAGGTACGCTTTTAGACGAATAGGGTTTCAACATGTAAGCATATCGATGTGTCTACCACGAATGTACCCCGCCGGATCTAACCAAATCGCTCACATACAATTTCTAGTGTCGATCTTTCCGGGTGTTCGTGACTCATCAGTTGGGCTATCGTGCTGTATCATTGTGAGGCTGTTAGCTTTTATGACGGTTTCCGTCTGAGCTTCCTCGCAACATCATATGTGGGCACACTACTGAAGAACTATCTATTTTTGCTGGAATTTCTATCGCACGCGACTGTTTGAACCCGTTAAGTCTCATTAGAATGTCACCCCATCAGGAGAAGATGTCATATCTCTTCTTTGCCGAAGTTGTGGCAATTTTGCTTGTGAATTACTGACCTACCCGCCTCCTCCGGACTTTAGACTCCCTCATGTGATTGCCTGGCAAACTCAAGGCATTCGACCACATTCTCATTCCCACAGCCGCTTTACTGAATAGATTCAACGAGTGCCCGAATGGTTTAAGCGTCTGTCTTGTAACCCGAAGGTCACTGGTTCCAATCTGCATTGGTGCGGACAACCTCTCAATATCCCCCTAATCCACGCGTGCGTTGTAGTGGTCTCGTGACTGCGTAGTGTCGCTTTGGCACACAGGCGTATTGTTGCTGTTTTTTAATTTTTGTAATACGGAACATCGCCTTCCCTGATCTGTGCTTTGTAATTATAAAGTAATAAAATGGGACTGAACCGGTATACCACGGAATAGTCAACGGAGATGCTTTACTTTTCGAGGTCCAGTCGCGTATATCATCATGCCCCCGTGGCTTTTCGTAGCCTCCGTCATAAGCTTATCGGTCAAATGTGGCGGTTGTGCGCTGATTTCGAGATCCTTACACTGGCTGAGATGTTCAACTCGTTTGCTTACCAAACAGTCACCGCTGTGTGTAATTTGCGCAACTTATCTCACGGGACTAGGATATGTAGAAACTTTCCGAATGACTGGGTCACGTTAGCGCATTTTTTTCTGGTTTCGATCGTCAGTATCAGTCGGACCTAAAATCTATGCTCCAGTCACAGGGCACCTGTGGTTCGCGCATGTCCTATGTAAATAATCGGCTGAAACAGAACACCATGCATTTCAGCACATACTTCGCGCGTTTGCAATGCCGAATACTAGGTCGACTAGCCGCCAGCCCTCTCGATCTTCGAACAGACATTAAACACTGGAATAACCACTGGTAACCAGACACCAGAGGAGATAGTGCCCGTATCGGCAATCGCTTCTGTGGTTCCTTACACTTGCTTCTTTGGAGACGGTAGGATCTTAGCTCATCTGTCACGGATAACACTACGCTGCTTCCATGATTGCTATGTGTCGGCGACGTGACCGCTGCATGTTGAGCGCGTTAGGTGTTTGGACAGCGTTGCTTGTACCTGGTGACATCATGCACTGAGCAACGCTGATCTCCAGTTGACTTCCGTTGCCTAATTTGTACGGTTTCGTTCTTCGCATGCACACTTGTATCTTACTTAGCGCTGTTGCACTCGGCGTTTCCTACTAATGAACTAACCTGAAGACAAGGAGCTAGTAGTCCTTTCCAGATGATTTAGGCCATCTCCCTAGATATGACTCATGTAACCGGCCACGTGTATGGTCCTAGACCATATCCTATGCCGTACGACCTTTGTCAGCGGCTCTTGCGTTCCGTCTCTTTCTCTTGTCATTTGGTACCTCTACCTTATTTTTTAGGTTTGTTTTACTTATGCAGACGGCGGAAACAGAATAGAGTACACGCTTGTTCTAATTTATGCATACTCCCTGACGTACTTATTCTAGTGCTGTCATTCAGATTATTGGCTCTGTTTTTTTACCTGCCATGCTAGTCATGGACTTATTGCGCTATCAGGATATCTTGTGCCTCGTCTTTTAGCATGATCTTTAAAAAAATTTTTCATTTGCCGACATATGCATGCAATTGTCATTTGTTACCGATTATGCCTCATTGAAGTGACATTTACTTTTCAGTTTGAAACTCATCATTGCGAGATCCAACCTCTCATGAATATGTTAACGTATTCCACCGCGAATTTTCCTGCTTGGCATTCGGAAGATGTTTCCCGAAGAAACAGCATGGAACCCCTATCAACACCATCTCGGTTGTCCTTAAAATCTACTGTCGATCGCTCTTTAACGGATTATTCTCACTTATTTCCATCCGGTATATTTTCTCAAGTGGACGTTGGACGTCATCGAGATGGCTCCATAGATCCGACTTCCTTTCTGCTGTTGGACGCATCTTGTCGAAGGGTTTACAGATTTCGACCCATCAGTGATGGGCAACGATCCTACTCCTCCAAGACCTCAACCGGTCCTTTGGGTTGGTTGCGCCGTGGGGGGCTCCGTGATTCTAAAGTTACTCCGCGTACCTCTCAATCAGTCACACCGGATCTCACTCTAGCAACTCTCAATTCGAGTGACATCGTCTCATCTCATGGTTCTACCGCACGCTGCATTCCCAGCACTCCTTCTTCCTTCACTCTTAGTGCTTGTCCATCAAACTCCTCGACTACCACTTTGGATGTTTGCAAGCATGTGGACAAGAATTCTGCAAGTGAATGGATGCATTTGATATCCTTTGTACTTAATCAACTCAGGCTCGTACACACCCGGGACCGTGTCAATTAGACAGTTTGTGTGTGTATGTGTGTGTGTGGCGTTGTTTTCGCCACTTCTGCACTCTGTCTTGGATCTCGGCTTTGCAATGAGCGCCTGTCTTTTTCGCATCGATAATTTTGAACCAACGCTTTTTAATCTAAATCAATTAATTGCTTTGCTTTTAGGCCTCTGTCTCTTTTACCGTGGCCGAATCGACTGCTGCTCTACGGTAATATTTTTAGAAGACGCTTCCTGTGTCTCTTTTACCCACCGCCTGTAGGCTTTCATCTCTGATGACCTCCTTGGGACTTATTATCCTACTTTGCATTGTTTTGTTACTTCACCCCCACCCTCCACCTGCTTCCTTTTTTACGTGCCTTTTTCACCCGTCTCCACTGATCCTTATCCATGTCCAACCGTGCACATTTTTACGCCGAACGCCATAGACGGAGAGATCATACAGTTCGCTTGCTTTACTAGCCATGACTGTTCTTATTGTTATGCGATTTTGTTTTTCTTCCCGCATCCTTAAACTTGTTCTGACCATCTCTTAATCTGAGGTATCGCAGTTGACATCTATACTGGTCTGTATCTATACGCATATACACAAGCCACTTTGTGAGAACAGCTTACTTCAAGTTCTTTCGGTCTGACAACGGCATGTGGTTCGAGGTCACTCTAACCTTAGGCTTACAGAAACTAGCCTCACGAACGCAGATGTTGAATGAACGACTGACGCATTACCTGAGGCAGATACAGGGATCTTGGTTATTTCCAACCTTTCGATCCCGTATCACTTGCTCTGTCCAGTCATACCGTTAAGTAAGCCTTATGAGAGCATACTCTTAGGCATTACTCATGGTTTACGATCTTCTGTGCGAAAGATTGATTGCATGTTTCTCTACATACACGAACTACTTAGTATTTGGATTATCTCATTTAAAGATGCTCTGGGATAAACAATCGGCTTTTGCTACTGTCGAATCGGTATCCACATTTGCGAAAGTAGTAACTGCGCCCTGAAGAACAACTGAAGTGTTATTCTTAACAAACAGCCTCTTCACTCAGTCCACGGTGTCGAACCCTGGTCTACGAAGCCCAAGATCCCTCACGGGTTGAATAACCGGAAATCACAAATTGCGCAGTGGGTCCCACAAATCGGTCGCCGTGTTCTTCCGTATGTTTAGAGCCGAGCCCGTTGTCGTCCACCGTGCAATCTACTCGACGTCACACAAGCTGCACAGGACTAAAAATACGCTGCCCCGTTACAAATAGAACTATCGCATTGCGGTTCTTGTTGTGTTCATACCAACAGCGTGAAATAGCCGTAACACCGCGGTGGCGAGCCGGTTTTGTCCCAATTACTTCTCAACTGAATCGACAATTATCTTTTGTTAATTTTGTTCATGGGCAGCTGACCAGATCAGTTTATTTCACTGCAGTTATGTGGTTTATACCTCCGTATTCGTCTGCTACTGTGACCAGTTGGAATTGGCACTCGTCATGCCGGCCCTGCCACTCATACGCAGTACAGCATCATTACCAACGTTTACTCACCTCAGTTCTCTTGCATTTCAAGGCAAACGATCTCGACCCTAAGTATTCGAAATTACTTGGAACACTGGTAGCCCGGCTTGGTTGCTCACCTGTTGATTGTTTTTCCGAGCTTGATTAAGAAATCGCATACGTTTCACCACCATGCGAGGTGGCATCTTCAGTGCAGTAATAGGCAGTGTGTATTGCTGCTTAGTGGATTGTCAGTCCGTCATGCACGGGCAGGTGACTTTTGAAGGTGGCGATTTCGATTTGTGCCACATGCGAATTTTCAAATGGTGACGACTGCCCCCGTGCAATTGGGGGGGATCACAAATCGTTGGGCTCATACTGCTTGAATTTGCTTAGAATCATTCGAAATGTTCAGTGCATGTATTGTGTGGGTCCGCAGCCATATTAAGTTGCCCCCTCAATGCGCTTCTTGGAAAACTACCAAACGTGGCGTATACTTTTTGTTCTTGTACTCCTTTTTCCGGATGTCGCTGGTCGGAAGTTGTACCCATCGACCTTACTCTACGCCACTTTGAATCATGTGCTATTCGTTTGCACGTTTCTGGACACGCATCTGCATGATGGGATGATCACTGTCTCAATTTGCTGTAGCTTATCTCCCTTGGATAACACCAGGGGCTTGGGGGAGATCTGCGTTCATATTCTCCATACCTTAGTATCTACGCTATCAGACACGTGCACCGTAATTTCGGAACCGGCCGCCTAGGCCGCTTGTCCTTCGAAATTTTCTCATGTACGATCAATTCGTGATGCACAGGGTGTGGATACATGAAATGACCTGATCCGGTTGTTGGAATCCAGCGTTTTTCGCGCCATCCGCTATATTTTACCGAGTATTTAGCGTTCATTTTACTTCAGTTTCTCCCGCGTTTTGGGGTTTCCTTTGAGCATCTGATCAGTTCACTTTCCTCCGGTATTGATTTTCCCACCGTAACACCTTTTCTCTCTATTGATTTTATACTGGACGCAGTCATCGGTGTATTCCTGGACGACCCTCGAGTTTCATGTGCACCTGTATCCCTCCATTGCTCATCTTCCATAGTTGGTGGGAGCGTCAAGTGGAGCATATTCACTGCTTTTGTTCCAAAGACCCACATTTTTCATCCGCCCTCAGTTGAAACTATGATGTGCACACTACCGACACATCACTCATAGACGACCAACTTCCATGCTGATTCCAACTATCCCTAGCCCACTTGGTCTACGAGTTGTATTTGATTGATCCATCAATACCCAAACAAGCTTTCTGCTTTCGGTACTACGAATTCCAGTTCGCACTGAACTCTACACAGCTGATGATCGTTTATTGTGGCGATGACTACGTTGTTTTTGGACCCACCTGTACCATTGTCTTCGGGCATTTTTCTGGTTTGTTTACTATCTACAATCCACGTCCTGAGATAAGTTAGTCCAGGTTTTCAAATCTCCGTTGACTATCATAATCGTCAATATTGGGGTGCTGGGAACAAGTTACAGTCAGACGAATGGATGAGTACTTGCACAGTCGGGTTGAAAGGTTAGAAATAACCCTGTGAATGCACGGGTCGTACATGATGGGAGTATGTAGCCGAACGGACTAGACGGAGAAGAAACAAGCAGCCAGATGGACGCAAACCAAGAGGAGTCATTGATTGAGTGTACCAGGTCTGACTGATCATCTTCTCGGCTCCGCTGATTGGTTGACAGTTGGCTACGTGGCAGTGCGCTTGTTTAGCTCAGCCAAATAGAGAACCTCGTGTGCTGAGCAACGTCGTTGTAAATGGTTTCGGCCCTAATTATATATATATATATATATATATATATATATATATATATATATATATATATATATATATATACCAGTTCATAGGTCAGCTGTGATGCCTTTTTGCTGAGTTTGCTTTGCGGGATCAACACTTGTTTCTGCAACATTCTACAGAGTTATCGATTGCGTAATATTAGATAGACTTTCTACTTTCTGAGGTGGTCTACTTTGCGACTTTTATCTCTGTTGTCGGTATAAGTCAGTGCGGTGTAGTCACCAGCTTGGTCTTTTCGCGCATACTAACCTTATCGTCCACCCAAAATTAGGCTGCATCGGACAGATGGTTCCAACTGCAAGCACGTTGAAGCAAGTTTTCATAGGAATCCTTTGAACATGGGTACACCAGCGTTAACAATGTAGGACTGTCAAACGACCCAACACGAAGGTAGTAGTTCTGGTCCCAAACAGTTGCAGGCGCATCGTGGCTTTGCCCATCTGTTGGTCCTTATGGACCTCAACTATCGTTAAAAAGAAGTGATTGTTTTCCCTTAACACCCTAATGATGACTTTGAGCTCTCAAGCTATCTCGATCACACAACACTATTCACTTTACACTTGACCAGCGGCCAAATGCCTCGCGTTGACACTAACGGTTAGGATTCGGAACAGCCGCATACATTTTCCGATCTGCGATCTATTGCAAATTACCCCTCTGTATAAGCTTGCACTATTGTCACCCTCTAGTATCCGTAAGTTTTTTCTCAAGTTCTACCATTTGATGTACCTTATCTGGCTCCTAGATCGACCGCTGTCGGCACGAAGATTTATCACGCGATCCTGTTCTATGGTTAGCAGGGAGCTTTGAGCCAACACACTTTTACTCATCCTCCATCCCCGAGGGGTGCTCCAATGCCGTCTAGAGGCGTCTCTACGATTCTACCTACTCCGAATCAGTTGTGTGCTGCACTGCGTCTTGAACTCCATTTCTTTCGGACAGACAAGGAGGCTCGGCTTATTCCGTATGCATCAGAGTAATACTTGTTTGTTGCATCGCATTAGGGTTACCACGATAGTAGCTTGTTAATGAATACCTACCTAAACATCTGTTAATACGTTTGCGAACAGCAACCGGGTGACACTGTCTATGCACGAACCACTAGTAGCTTAAGCCGCACCGCTCAGCTACATCCAAACACCGGGCTCCAATCAGAGCAGCCCATGCTCCGTCAACACCGTCTATGAGCTACCGCTTATGGGCACCTTGAATGACTGTCGCTTCCCTGTGCAAGCTATTGCACATGCTCATAAGGCAGTGTCTGAGCAGTTAGCCCGTCATGAAGCCTATCTGCACCCTGTCCCCATCAACAGCGTTTCAACTGGTCAGGCCAAGGCCATCAGCAGTACACCGGTACGTAGTACCGATGCTTCGCTGCCACGCAACCAGCAACAGTCGCACATGAGTTAAGGATACTGTGAGGGTCGCCCGGTCCCCTACGCAGACCCAATCCCGCGCCCTCGGATCACAAGGCAGACTTGGGATGCTTTAGGTCGCGGGCTGGCAAATGGTCAGGCATATGAACAGCATTCGAATCAGCTGTAATCATACATGGCGCCAAACGAGACTACTACCAGTCATCGCGAATGTACGCGCTCAATCACTAGAGTTGTCGCTCGTATTCAGTGACGGTGCACCTCTGAGCTCACCTCAGTCTGGACCCCGGCATCTACAAACAATAGCCCATTTCCATGCTCGCAGGCAGTAACCCGAAACTACGGGTCGGATGAACATAGTGTGCAATTGGTGGATGTTGTTTACGTCGGAAACAGCGCCTGATGGCCCAGCGGGTGGGGGAATACCGAGTTCTACAATGTGTCTACAATAAAAACTCATGAAATGCGTATGTGCTCCCACGAGTGCATATTGCAAAATGCTCATTAAAAATGACTGTCTAACCACCAGATATACTGAACGCGAAGAGCCTATGCATTGGCTTATATTTCAAGCACAGCAACACATGCGCTTCCTATGCGCAGCGGACAATTCTAAATTGCTATTCGCTTCAAAGTCGCTTTCGTACCTATTTACAGTCATCAAGTATAACTTGCTGAAACGGGAATTGGTCCTGCCCATGATCCCAGTCACTTCGAGATAACTGTGGTCCCAGTTCACATTGCGTACTGAAGTCCATTGTCAAACTATGTGCTTGCGGAGCTCGTGGTGTAGGGACAAATGCGTCGATCATCAGTCTCTACAAGAGTGTCCTAGCCTAGCATGACACCGGTCATGGGGTGCAGAGAGAGATGGGAGCATGCAACATTG